GCGCCGAGTAAGGGGCTCCTTTGGCGTCTCCTGGGCTTAAAAATGCCTGCTTTCCCGTCTCCATGCTGCAGGAACGGAAGAACGTGCTTGGGGGTAAGCTGCGTCGTGTACTGTACATATGCTAAACTTGTCTCGTTTCTGTTGCATGGCGTCATGCTATCGTAGGATCTGCCATGACGTCACGTGCCGGCAGAACCTGCTAGAAATCCGATGTTTCTCGCCCTTCTTGTGATACTACGGAGTGTCACCGCCTTCTGACTCACACAACCGCTAGAGCAAATCCCCGGCGATGCCCACCCATCGACCTAGCACTCGGCCTTAATGAATGGGCGGCTAAAATATGGCGGAAAGTAAGTCGTTGTTGGCAGCCCTGAGCAGCGGCGGCGGCGGCGGAGCGGCAGGGCTGTCCGGGCGTTGGAGGGGACGAGGGGACGAGGGAGCCGCCGCGGCCTCGCGCTCACACAAGGCTGGCCGCGGAGGGAACATGAAGCCTCCTTGCCGCTCCTGCACACGCCCACAACCCCACAGCTGCCCCGCCGCTGCTGCTGCTGCTGTTGCTGTTGTCACTCTTAACGCCACAACCGGAGCTGCTGCTGCTGTTGAATCTGCTGCCGCCGCTGTTGCCTCTTACACGTTCCTCCTTCCTCCTGCCATCGCTGCAGCTGCAACACACAGCGAGAGTGACCACCTTGTTTGGGCAGACGTCAGTTACCCGGTGGTTTAGCGGCATATCGAAAGCACTGTGGGAGTTCTCGACGGCGTGACCTTAAAGATATTTACATTTTTTTACCTTAGATAAAAAATATATTAAACTGTGATTCTGTGTTCAAACACTCGCACTTAGAACACTTTTTAAGAAGTACTTTGACACCCCCAACCCCACCCACCTCTGCTGTCAAGCTAGACCTTTTTGCAAGCTGTGATTCCGTGCCAAAGAGAAACTGTTGATTTCGCAGTGGATTGCAACTTCGAGAAAAATTAAGAGAAAGAGAGAGGAAAAAAAAAAAACTTAATCCGTAGACGCGAGAGAAGACATTCCCGAGACTTAAAGATAAAACAGAGTGCGAATCAATCAAGGAGAGAATTATTAGAAGGAAAGTTAAAGCGTAAAAAAAAAAAGTTTGGTGCAAGGATCGCGAGGGGTGTGGAAGCCCAGGGAGAATCGATAGCCTCCACACACACAACACTACGACCTTACCGGCTTCGTGAACTAACTGCATCACTGCACGACGTAAAACTCTTTAACATAAAACAAGCGGGCGAAAAAAAAGCAAGAGATCAATAAAGACACTCGAGTGCACTGTCTTGGAGAAATTCGATTCATATTTTTCGTTTTTTTATATATCGATATCTAAGACTGTAAAGAGTTGACTGTCGTGCATCTGTTTTTTTTTTTTAGTCAAGTTAAAGGAGAGAAGGCAAGCAGGGCCCACACAGGGGGTGGACAAGCATAGTCAAATTAAGTTAGATTGTTATAACCAATTCATTAGATTAGACTATTGATGGCTAGTGTACCAAAACCCTGAGTCCACATTTTGCTGTGATATACAAAAAAAGAAGATATTTATACACAAACTATAAGATTAGATGTAATCTATATATAGATCTATATATATAAACAAAAAAAAAGTAATCAAGATTAATGCGTAGAGACAACGACTGTTTGTTTTTGTCTTTGATTCGACGTCACTCAACCGCTCACGCCATCACCATGTGCTAAAACTGAGTGAAATAGACATTGGTGATGATCTATTTAGAGAAGATCGCTGCCGTTACCCAGGAACTTGGTAACACTGCCTTGCTTGTTACACCGACCTGAACTTGGTAACCTTGGCAGCTCTATGAACTTGAGATATGACCAAGGTGAATATCGATTTGGCACCACCGCCCTTGATTTCTCCTCGGGTGTACATGTTCAGACACGTTTATTAGATTTCCTTTAGGGGTATTTAATTACTTCGGGATTGGGATTCAAGGCAACATATGGATGCATTTTGCCCATATGTAGTTGTGTTATTTATTGATTTTTCTTAAAGTGGGAAGGGCTATTTTAAAGGAAGGATGGTGACAGACAGCGCCCACCCGTACCACATGCCATATCGAAGTAAACGTCCAGACCTGGAGACTGAATGTCAAGTGTCATGCATTCCTCCTCGCTTTATGCGCTCTTCCTGCTTTCCATCCAACTTCCTCCTTCCTCTCGTTCCTCTCCTTCGTTATTTGTTTTCAATTCCTTTATTTTTTTCCTCCATCCACTTCACTCTCCTTCTCCGGCAGCCCTTTCTCCACTCCCCTCTCCCATCCTGCTTCCACCATTCCTTCCCCCTTCCCTTCCTTCTTCCATTTCTCCCTTTCCCTTTCTTTGTCCTCCCCCTCTCTCCTCCCTTTCTTCTTCCATCCCCTCGCACCTCCCCCTCCTGGAAGTGAATTTTCCAAGGACGAGGCCCTGCTTGGATCGACTTGACTAAACCTGCGTCAATACTTGGGTGGCTGCTACGGACTCCATGACTGCCTCTTGTGTCTCTTCCACCTGCTCCTATTGCTTCTCTTTCGTTTCCTCTTTCGTTTTCCGCTCGTTTGCTTTCTTTTTTTTTCTCTTTCTCTCTTTCTCTGCTCTTTTCTTTTCGACTCTGACTGTCTCTCTCTCTCTCTCTCTCTCTCTCTCTCTCTCTCTCTCTCTCTCTCTCTCTCTCTCTCTCTCTCTCTCTCTCTCTCTCTCTCTCTCTCTCTCTCCTTCCTCATCTCTCCATCCCTCTCCCTTCTCCCTACTCCATCAAATTATCCTCCTTTTGCCTCTCTCTCCCCCTCCCTATCCCTTCCCCTTTCTTTCCTTCTCTTCACTACATCTATTACACTTTCTCTCCATCTGTTTTGTACTTATACTTTTCATTCTCTCTTCTCCTGTTCACTATTCGTCATGGTATTATCCCCACTCTTCGTATCTTCAGCCCATTAGCGACTAAAGCTTTTGCGAAAAAAAGATGCTGTTGTTTGTTCAAAACTTTTGTTCATCGATCAAGGTCGCTTGCCTCATTTTCCTCGTCCTCCTCATGTTTCTTATTTCTCTTTTATTTTCTTCCTTTTTCTTTTTCTATTTTTCTTCCTCATCCTCTTAATTTTCATTTTCCTTCGCTTCCTCTCACTCCTATTATCCTTCCTCGTCTTCAACCTCCTCCTCCTCCTCCTCATCTAACAATCATCCTTCCTTTTCCCTCCTCTTTCTTCCTCTTTCTCTTCTTCCTTCTCCCTCCCTCCTTCTCTCATTCCCCCTCCTCCTCCTCCTCCTCTTTCTCCTCATCCTCCTCCCCCTCCCCTTCCTCCTCCCCCTTTCTCCCTCTCCTTCCCCCTCCTCCTCCTCCTCCTCCTCCTCTTCTTCCCTCCTCCTCTTCTTCCTTCCTCCTCCTCTTCTCTCCTCCTCCTCTTCCCTCCTCCTCCCCCTCCCCCTCCCCCTCCTCCTCCCCCTCCTCCCCCTCCCCCTCCCCCTCCTTTCCCACAACCCTTCCCCCTTCCCCCTTTTCCTGACACCTAACACCGAAACACCCTGACCCTGACCCAGTTTGTAGGGAATGGAACAAGGGAAACACATGTAGCAGAGGAGGGGGAAGGGAGAAAGGGGAAGGGAGGGGGAAGAGGGGAAAAGGGGGAGAGGAGGAAGGGGGAGTGGGAATGCCGGTTCCCCCCCCCCCCAAGTTCGAACCCCCGTGGAACATTCCTACGTTGGAATTTAGGCAGATTGTGCAAGAAAACGCTCGCCTCCGTCCGGTTTCTGTGTCGCCGACAGATCCATATGGTGGACGGCCTACCTGTGTGTGTGTGTGTGTGTGTGTGTGTGTGTGTGTGTGTGTGTGTGTGTGTGTGTGTGTGTGTGTGTGTGTGTGTGTGTGTGTGTGTGTGTGTGTATGCGTGAGTGTGTGCGTGTGTGTGTGTTTGTTTGTTTGTTTGTTTGTTTGTTTGTTTGTTTGTTTGTTTACATGTATACATACCGATAGACGAACACGCTCTTAAATTCCGCGCATAACACTCGCCTTCGTCAACCACAGTGCATAGGAAGATTTTTTTCGGCGAATACTCATGGGGAAAATTGCATACGATTAACATGTCGATTAGGTCCGGCCCTTAGAGTGAGGGAAAGGGGGGGTGGGTAGGCAGGTTGCTTGCTGCTCGAGCCCTTTGTCCTGTCTGGCGCTGCTGCTGTTCCTCCTGCCCCCCCCCCTCTCTCTCTCTCTCTCTCTCTCTCTCTCTCTCTCTCTCTCTCTCTCTCTCTCTCTCTCTCTCTCTCTCTCTCTCTCTCTCTCTCTCTCTCTCTCTCTCTCCACCTCTCTCTCTACCTCTTTTTCTCTCTTCCTCTATATTCTCCTTTCTCTCCTCTCCTCATTCTCCTCCTCTTTCTTTTCCTCCTTTCCTCCCCACTTTTCTTTTTCATTATCTATTCCATTCCCCTTCTCTCCCTTTCTCATCTGTCTCTCTTCCCCAATTTCACTCTCTTTCCAATTACCCTTTCTCTCGTTCTTCCTTCCTCTTCTCTGCTCCTCTTCACTCCCGACCCTTGTATAAGTAAAAAAAAAAAATCGGGTTTCTAGGTCATCCGAAGATGAATGCAGGCCCGCCATTTTAACGTCTGAACGACTACGTATTCTAACCACGCGACGACTCTTTGTGTCGGTGATTCATATTCTCGTCGCGTGAGGGCGGGCGCGCGGTTGGGTGGGCGGGTGGGCGTTTGCGCGCATGTGTCTGTATTCCGGCGGTGTGGATGATTTTTTTTTTTAAGTGTGCGTGTTTTACATATTGGTTTCTTTCTTTTTTTAGGTTGATTGGCTAGGTGGTTTTATTCTTATATCCAGATGATGTGTTTTGTTGTTGTTTTTTTCGCATATTTTTTTTTTAATATTAACCTCGTTATCTAACTCTCTCATTTCAGAAAATATCTATTTGCTCGTCGAAATTCCTTACGTCCTAACCATAATCTTTTTTCTTCTCTCCTGCATCGCTTCCTCCAGGTTGGTCGAGAGCCTCCGAGGTAAGCTGACGTGGCTGAGCGGCGAGGCGTCCTTCGTGGAACACCTTCAGGCGCAACTCAACGACGCGAAGAGGGTCCTCCAGGACGCAGCCGGCGAGGTCGCCGCGCTAGACGTGTACCACCACGATCACGCGGCCGTTTTGGATAAATTACAGGTAAATACGAGAAGAGGATGATAAGGAAGAGGAGGAAGGAGATAGGAAGAAGATTAGGAGGAGGAGGAGGGAAGAGAAGATGATTAGGAAGTGGGGGACAGAGAGGAAAAGGGGAGACGAGAGAAGAGGTGGGAAACAGAGGCGGTGGGAGGAGAGGGTGAAGAGGATGAAAGCGGACGCGGGAGACCGAACGTACGTGAAGAGGATGAAGGTAAAGGAGACTGCAGGGGAAAATGATAACAGGGAGATTACAGGACGAAGAAGGACAGAATTAGCGTAGGAGCAGGCTGAGGTTTGGCATTGTTGATTCCCAAGGCGATTCCGTTGCAAAGTGGAATTCCAGGCATGAATCGCGTCTCCTTGGGCGCTCATGAGAAGACGGGCAGGTGGCCCATGAAGGGGATGGGGGGGGGGATAGGGAGAGAGAGGGAGGCGGAGGAGGAGGAAGAGATGGGAGAGGGGGATAGAGAGAGGTAGGTGGAGGAAGAGGGAGGAGAGAATAGTACACGGAAGGGAAATGAGAAGAGGAGGGTGAGGAGGAAGTGGAGGAGGAGGGAAGAGGAAGGGGGAGGGAGTGCGTGTATGAGTGAGGAGGAGGATTTTGAAAGTGAGTCAGACATAGGGTGAGGGAGAGGGCGAGGAGAGGGACGGGGGTGAGGGTGGATGTTGGGGATACACATTGGGTCTCGTTCTAGTGCAATCGACGTCCATGGTGGTGGCGCACCGCGTGGTCGTGTGCATATCATGTGTCTGTTTGTGAACGTGTATGATTGTGTGTCTGTGTTTGTGTATGTCCGGGTAGCAGTTGACGTTTATTTAGATATCGCTGTGTCTCTTTCGGCATTTCCGGGAAAGCAAGCAAGCAAGCATGAGATGAGGGGGAGGCTGAGGAGGGGGGTACGCGAGGGGGGAGGGGTATGTGGCTGTCATCGCCCCGCCCACCGCGGTCTGTCTTCACGCCGCAATGGCGGCTTTAAGGGCGTGAAAGTGGTGGTTGAGATCCCCGCCCTCCCTTCCCTTGCCATTTCCTCTTTCTGTCCAGCCTTTTCCTCCTCACTCCTCCCCTTTTCTCCTTCTCTCCCTCTCCCTTCCTCCTCCACCTCCCGCCTCCTTCCTGTTCCCGACCCCACCATCCCCTCCCCCTCCTCCGTGCCCTTCGCACACCGTTGTCTCTCCCTCCTCTCTTGCCCCTCCCTGGTTCCCCTACGGCATCGGCAACGCAGCTATATGTAGCAATGTGGCGGGGGGCTTGGCACCGTCCCTGGGCACTTTGGCACTTCACCTGCCCTGGCACCCTTTTCGTGACGACTCCCCTGCCTGAGGCCTCCCCGGGGCGCTCTTGCATCACCCCACGCTCACGCCACCCGGGCCGCGCTCGGCTGATCTCACGACGCCCATCCAGCATGCCCAGCTACTCGCACCCATATCCAGCCCCTCTTTCTCGATTCACGTTTCCTTCTTTCCCTCTTGGTCGGTGTCTGTCTGCCTGTCTGTCCGTCTGGATTGTTTCCGCTTCTTTTTTTCTATTGATTAGATACAGTCGCACGTGCAGCCCTTCACGCACAGGCATACACGCACGTTCCTGATCACACGCTGCACACGAACACACACACAGATACTCTCTAATCCACTCGGGATTTAGTTGTTCATTTACTCATATTTATCTCTTACTCACACGCGTTGGCGGACTTACACACGCAAACGCATTCACTCAACCGCGTTTGGCGCCACGTGCAACAGTCTTGACTTGTCCCCCCTTCCATCCCCTCCTCCCTTCCCTCTCTCCCTCCCTTCCCTCTCACCCTGCCATCCCACCCTCCCCGCACTCTCCCATTCTCCAGCTGCCCCCCACCTGCCTCTCTCTCCCTCCCCTCCCCCTGCCTCCGCCCTCGCCCCTCCCCTCCCTTGCCCCTGGTGTCCGTGGCGCGCGGCCAGCAAGGGCAGAGGAGTCAGTGGGAGCTGCGAGCCCTCGTGAGCAGGACAGAACCTTTCCCCCCAAGCGATATGAACGTCGGCGCGTACGATTGCGGGCGAGGTTGGAGAGTACACTTGCGTGACACACTTACGACGGAGGGTGGAAGGTGGAGCGGATAGTGTGAGGAATCCACTTTGTCTCCCCCACCGCCACCTCGCGTCTCCCCCCCCCCCACCCCCACCCAACTCCATCGGCGTTGTCTTGACATCTACTTTTTAGCTTGACGTGGGGGGTTTGCGGCTTCCACTTTTAGTCGGAGATCAAGGAGTGATTTTACTGTGATATGGATACTTACATGTGATATTAATTGTACTGTGACAGTTTATATATAGAAATACTGTGTATATACAAGCCTCCTTCCCATATACATGAGGGAAGTAGTCGAGAAAGCAAAGCATCAGCAAGTTTATTTTTCTTTATCACCTTTGCTGTAGATCGTTGGATCACGTGTGTCTCAAGCATCAAGTGAAGCCAAACAGCTCATCAGTAAGACCAAGAGTCACTACATAACGGAGAACAGGTCCCTCCCACCGGAGATAGCAAGCCAGGTACGTCTGTGACATTTCGTCGTGTGTTGTTTGGCTCGTGAACTGTCATTTCCCATGCTATGTTTCATTCTGTCTCTCATTTCCACTGTTTTGCGTCATCGTTTTGATTCGTTTTCTCCGGCAGCTGTCAAATCTAGAGTTAGAAGCGGAGAGCACGGAGGCGAAGATGGACGACCAGCACGTGGAGGCGAAGCGGGCGCGCACCATCCGCTTCGAGTACAACCGCGACGTCGAGTCGGTGCAGGCCTGGATCCAGTCGGCGGAGGCCAAGGTGCAGGATAAGACCGTCGAGCCTCACAAGCTCAAGGAATTCCTGCAGGAGATCCACTGCGAAATCGGCAGCGTGACGGACCAGCTGGAGAGGCTGACCCGCCACGGACACATGATCTGTCAGCGCACCAGCAACCATAACGAGCGCGAGTTGGTGGCCACCACCATCACGTCCCTCACGGAGCAGCTGCAGCAGGTGCGCAATTGGTTGGAGGACAAGAAGGCACAGGTGGGCGACTCTCTCGAGTCATGGCAGCAGTTCATCCAGCTTTACAATTCTCTGCGAAGCTGGGTGGAGAGGCAGAGGAACTTCCTGTCGGAGCCGTTGAAATTCGCCACACTGTCCGAGGGCCGCGCCAAACTACAGGAGTATGCGGTGAGTTTTTGTTTTTGTTTTGTTTTGTTTTCTCTTTTTTTTTCTTTGTATATAACCAGATTAAATTTGATACGGTAAGTTTTTTTCTTGTTCTTTTCTCATTTGTGATTTTCTTGTTTCATGTCTCCTCCAGGCTGCCGTGAAAGACTGCAAATGGGCCAGCAAACAGGTGTCTGAAATGACGTCAGAGCTGGCCAAAATCAGCCAGATTTCGAACGTCGGGCCCCTGACGGACAAGCAAGCCGAGATGGAGCAGGAGAAAGCGGACGTAGAGAGCAGCCTGAAGGAGCTGATGGCTCTCCTGCAGGAGATGACCGAGGAATGGGAACAGTGCGAGCGGAAATCGAAGGACGTGGCTGGCTGGATCGAGAAGACACGCCAGGCGCTGGACAACCCGCAGAACAAGAAGCGGTCTCTGCGTGATCAGCTCGCCTCGCGCGAGAAGGTGCTGGCCGACGTCACCATCCAGAAGACAAAGCTGGTCATGGCCATGGAGAAGCTGCAGGTGCACTTCCGAGACCGCATGTGCGCCGAGGCCCAGGTGGCCCACGAGAACGAGCTCCTGCAGGAGCGGCTGGAGGAGTTGCAGGCCACCGTCAAGGAGGACTGCAAGACGCTGGAGGCCTGCGTCCATCAGATGGACGCCTACCAGCAGGTAAGTATTGTGAACATACATACCGGGCTACTTTTTTCTCTCGATCCTGTGTATGAGCCTGCGGAGGCGACTCGGGAAGCTCGCTTGGCACACCTAAGGAGTCTTTGCATGTATTCAAGCGCTCGGACCATTCGCCTTGCTTCATATAGCCAGGAAGACCCTTTGGGTGTCCCAGGGGCGCTTCTCCGAGGGGCCGCCCGCAGGTTCATATACCTTCCCGCCTTCATCTCTCCAGCAGTCATGACGACATAACAGTAGCCCACGACCCGTGTTCTCTGCCTTTCCTTTCTAATTGTACTTCCCACTTTAAAAACCAGGAGATTCAGCGGCTCCGACAGCAGATGGTGCGCGTGGAGCAGGAGCTGAGGGTGGTGTCGAGCCCAACGTACAGCCCCCGTGACAGAGACAAGGCCGTGGCGGAGCAGAACGTAAGTGTAATGTCAGTTACCAGAATCGTGTTTTGTTTTGTTTTGTTTTGTTTTGTTTTGTTTTGTTTTGTTTTGTTTTGTTTTGTTTTGTTTTGTTTTGTTTTGTTTTGTTTTGTTTTGTTTTGTTTTGTTTTGTTTTGTTTTGTTTTGTTTTGTTTTGTTTTGTTTTGTTTTGTTTTGTTTTGTTTTGTTTTGTTTTGTTTTGTTTTGTTTTGTTTTGTTTTGTTTTGTTTTGTTTTGTTTTGTTTTGTTTTGTTTTGTTTTGTTTTGTTTTGTTTTGTTTTGTTTTGTTTTGTTTTGTTTTGTTTTGTTTTGTTTTGTTTTGTTTTGTTTTGTTTTGTTTTGTTTTGTTTTGTTTTGTTTTGTTTTGTTTTGTTTTGTTTTGTTTTGTTTTGTTTTGTTTTGTTTTGTTTTGTTTTGTTTTGTTTTGTTTTGTTTTGTTTTGTTTTGTTTTGTTTTGTTTTGTTTTGTTTTGTTTTGTTTTGTTTTGTTTTGTTTTGTTTTGTTTTGTTTTGTTTTGTTTTGTTTTGTTTTGTTTTGTTTTGTTTTGTTTTGTTTTGTTTTGTTTTGTTTTGTTTTGTTTTGTTTTGTTTTGTTTTGTTTTGTTTTGTTTTGTTTTGTTTTGTTTTGTTTTGTTTTGTTTTGTTTTGTTTTGTTTTGTTTTGTTTTGTTTTGTTTTGTTTTGTTTTGTTTTGTTTTGTTTTCTCTTTTTTTTTCTTTGTATATAACCAGATTAAATTTGATACGGTAAGTTTTTTTCTTGTTCTTTTCTCATTTGTGATTTTCTTGTTTCATGTCTCCTCCAGGCTGCCGTGAAAGACTGCAAATGGGCCAGCAAACAGGTGTCTGAAATGACGTCAGAGCTGGCCAAAATCAGCCAGATTTCGAACGTCGGGCCCCTGACGGACAAGCAAGCCGAGATGGAGCAGGAGAAAGCGGACGTAGAGAGCAGCCTGAAGGAGCTGATGGCTCTCCTGCAGGAGATGACCGAGGAATGGGAACAGTGCGAGCGGAAATCGAAGGACGTGGCTGGCTGGATCGAGAAGACACGCCAGGCGCTGGACAACCCGCAGAACAAGAAGCGGTCTCTGCGTGATCAGCTCGCCTCGCGCGAGAAGGTGCTGGCCGACGTCACCATCCAGAAGACAAAGCTGGTCATGGCCATGGAGAAGCTGCAGGTGCACTTCCGAGACCGCATGTGCGCCGAGGCCCAGGTGGCCCACGAGAACGAGCTCCTGCAGGAGCGGCTGGAGGAGTTGCAGGCCACCGTCAAGGAGGACTGCAAGACGCTGGAGGCCTGCGTCCATCAGATGGACGCCTACCAGCAGGTAAGTATTGTGAACATACATACCGGGCTACTTTTTTCTCTCGACCTGTGTATGAGCCTGCGGAGGCGACTCGGGAAGCTCGCTTGGCACACCTAAGGAGTCTTTGCATGTATTCAAGCGCTCGGCCATTCGCCTTGCTTCATATAGCCAGGAAAGACCCTTTGGGTGTCCCAGGGGCGCTTCTCCGAGGGGCCGCCCGCAGGTTCATATACCTTCCCGCCTTCATCTCTCCAGCAGTCATGACGACATAACAGTAGCCCACGACCCGTGTTCTCTGCCTTTCCTTTCTAATTGTACTTCCCACTTTAAAAACCAGGAGATTCAGCGGCTCCGACAGCAGATGGTGCGCGTGGAGCAGGAGCTGAGGGTGGTGTCGAGCCCAACGTACAGCCCCCGTGACAGAGACAAGGCCGTGGCGGAGCAGAACGTAAGTGTAATGTCAGTTACCAGATCGTGTCGGTGGTCACTAACAGAACTGCTGCCAGACCTCAGTCGGAGGGCGAGGAGGGCGTTAGGCGGCGAGTCCGCCCGGCGCCGCTGGCGTGCCTGCGGGGGACGCGGCCGAGAGTGGCGCGCCTCGGCCCTGGCTCGAACGCCCTGACCCTTCCATATACCTGCGAACCAGAAAGTCCGCAGTTGCATAAATATGCGACGTTGCGCCTCTATGCCGCTTGGGTCGTATGGATGGCTCAGGGCGTTTGAGTCAAGGGCACTGAGACTCGGTCACTCTCGCCGACTCCCTCGACCGCCAGCGCCGCCGAGAGGCCTAACACCCTCCGTAACATACATGTTCAGAGCGTGAATAACCCACTCACAAATTCACCCAAAGTCAAATGGATCTTCACACTTAAATGATTAAATATTTAAATCATGAAATATTCACAAAATAAATATAAGAAATGCATAAATAAAATACATAATTTAAAAACAGATAACAACAACCACGCGGTGTTCTGGTAGTCCCCATCAACTGATCTGTCTTGTGCATTTTGCCATTTGTAGTAATTGTTGACTGAACTGCAGAGTACACTCAGTCAGTCACTCAAATATAGCTGACATATTCGGCATTGTTAAAAATGTAACGTAACTGTCATAGAAGTAGAACATTCGTAGTAAAAGAAAACGATCAGTAAACAATGACTCAATATAGTTTGTGTATATAAGTACATTAAAAATAATACTATTCTTTGGTAGAGGATAAGTTTACACTGTACGAGAGTAATATCTAGTTACAAGGTGGCTGCTTTCCATTTCTTGTTTCCTTGGTTCTGAACAAATCATTGAATGGTGTATCACATAACTTTGTGGGAGTCAACATGTCATGCTATGCTGCAAGATGCTCCAGATATTAATCAGTCTTAACAGCTGTGAGCCTGGCGTGCGCCGGGCCCCCCACACCACCCCCCTTTCTCTGTGGTTTTGTCTCTGGTCGTACTGTGGCACTACTTTCGTGACGTCATCCCGCGCTTAGGGATGACGTCACAGAAGGGTTATGATGTCATTCTTTGCTTATGAGCTCACTGAAGGGTTACGGTAGCATGTCTCTTTCTCATAGTTCATTCGATGATTTTATTTTATTAAATACTCTTTTCCTTGTTCGCATTTAGTTATTTACCAGATGTGACATCATGATCCTGAACTGTTGCCAGACCAGACCATCCTTTGCATTTGTCTAACGTTATCATGGACGTGGTTATCGTTGTCTCAATATTTCTCGCTCTTTTCAAAATAACCAAATCTCTCTTAGATGTTGATTAACCAGCTTTTAGTGTAGCTTTGGGTTTTAACACTTATCTGAATGTTATACAAATTTATTGATATATTTATATATATACATATTTTTATGAATATATCTTACATGAATTATTGATAATTGGCTTCAAATGAACTAATTAAGGTGATGGTCGCATTAATGCCCCAATATAACAGGTAATGTAAACAGAAATGACAATGATGCTTAACCAAAAGAAAGCAAATTAATCAAAAGTATAGACTGCTCTTGGTATAGGTTTCTGAACTATTGGCATTAAATACCCACTCACAGGCCTGCCGAGAGAGGATTAAAACCATTCAGTCGAAGATCAGTGCGCGAAATGAGCGTATCAAGCTCCTTAACCAGCGAGGCACTCCTGACGCTGCCCCCCTTGACACGTAGCTGGGCGCCTGCCTCTCGTCTCCCTCACGCCATCCACCATCCTAGCTTTTCTAGTTTCGCTCTCTCTCTCTCTCTTACTCATCATTAATTTACGATTTATGATCAATCATCCTCATACATTATATTTGGATTTTATATATATATATTTCTCTGTGGTGCTTCCCTCTTCCGGTTAGGGAACTGGGAAATGAAACGCAGCCTTGATCAAAACATTCCATAGGGCCGATTCTGGTCCGTGTCATAGGTAGCATAAAGTTTGTTTCCCTTTTCACATCCAATCCTTTTAACACTTTTTGTGTAAACAAACAAAACACATTGTTTTATGCAATGCTTTTGTGTGTCTCCAATCCACTCACAATGCCACTCTTCTTTGCCGGGACTGCATACCACAGGTGCTCCATGGCCAGTATGAATCTCAGCAACGACAAATTGTCGAGCTCACCCAACGAATCTACCAGATTGACCCCAGTGCGGTGATTCCGACCGAGCTAACGCTAGACACGACCGAAACGAGCACTACTCTTACCTCTTCGCTTGACACGCCCCCCGACGAGGAGGCGGCCCAGGCCTCCCTTCTGCAATCTACCAGGCCTGTATGCGTGGCCGACTCCTCCGCGCAGGACGTCCAGGTTGTGATCACGCAAGACATCATTACAGGCGACATGGACGCCATGGATTCCGAAGTGAAAACGCTGACGGCGCAGAGCACGAGGAGCGGCCAGGTGCAGGTGGACGGCCGCACTATGATCGTCACTCCTGACGCGGGGCTGCAGATAACGTGGGCCGACGTGGCGGCAGGACGCAAGAGTCCTGGCATATACGGCCAGACCTTCCCCGAGGATGGGAGCATAGCGCCATCTTCAGTGTCCCCAAGTCAGTATGCTGGAGAACCCAGCGCGACGCCGGAACTTAGCACGTCGTCGTCCTTGCCTGTGACACCAACTTTAAAAGAGGAATCAGTGAGAGAGGAAAGTGTTGTTGTAAGTGTTAGTGTTGATGAAATGCATGAAAGTGTCCCTGCAGAGGCTGACATGACAGCCGCTGCTAGTCATGTTGTAGGGACTACCTACAAAGATGAAAAACAAGTGATTCGTGACCGTAGAAATCGTCAACAAGACCGTCAACAACAGTTCGCCAAGACACAGAAGTCTCAAAGTTTCGAGCAAGATGCAAAGGCAACCCGACGTGTTCAGCAGCGGGATCGTCGATACCGGAAGAAACAGCCGGGAGAACAAGCGGGAGATCGCCCCTCTGAGGCTCAAGAGGAAGTTTACTATGATGCCTCCAGCCGCAGAAGTAGCCGAAGGAGCAGTCCAAGAAGTGCTCCCTATCCCAAGCCCAAATTTAGTCCAAGAGAAAGTCCGAAAGATACTCCCATGGTCACTCCAAAGTCCAGTCCTACCCCCAGTCCAAAGGCAAGTCCCCAAGTGAGGCGACGCACGAATCAGAAGATGGGAAGCAGGACCGAGATGACAGAGCAGCCCAGGAGGATCGTCCAGGAAGAGAAGGCCTACAGGTCGATTCCGACAACACGCTGGGATGGAAAGATCACTTATGCTGATATTCTCAAGGGCAAATTAGAAGCACATGGACGGCAGGATGTTGACGACAATACTCTCGAATATGGGACTGTAGCTCAAAATGTACAAGCTCAAAATGAGGTCCATACAGTCAGTATGGCCGAAATAACTAGTCATGTCACTTCCCATTCTGTAACTACCACAATGGTCTCTTCGGCTGTTGTCTGTGATATGTCAGAGTCTATGACCCACCTTGATCAAGAGGAAGAATGTGCTGTACCAGATGAGATGCTGCCCATCAGCGATACTGTAGACTCCCGCACTATCAGCCAACACCAACCAGAAGAAGTAGTCATGCCATCATATTCAACTTACTCTGAGCAGGATGCCTACCTTATTGACAACATAGCAGCCCCTCCATCACATGGAGATTCTTCATACCAAGAGGCTGCCACTGTGCCCATGTTCCAGCATGGATACCCGGTAGATGTGCAGAACATGCAGACTCCCATGAATCCCATACCAACAATGGAAAATTCTGTACAGGGTATTGTCATGAATAGCAATATCGACCCCATCAACTTTTACCAGGGAATGGGCCAGTATCCTGTTACAACAAACTACGCACCTGAGGGATATAATGTGCAATCCTATGGTCAGATTAATGACTATCAGCCAACAAGTGAAACTAGCAATGACTACTCCAGTGTAACTCTAGAGCAGCCTCCTCCCGAGGACACCACCACTGTGAACGTGATGACAACTCAACCAGCTGTGACCCCACCTATGATGACCCCACCTGAGACCCCTGATCAGTATCAGGAGGAGGAGGAAGTAATAGAACAAGAAGAACCAGTTCAAGTACCTTCCATGGTGTTTGAGCCAACTCAAGCTCAAATGGAAGAAAGCATGACATCAAAGCAGATACCTCCTGAATTCAAACAACAGACATACATCACCACAGAGCAGCTTCACTCAGTGATGGCAGACCCAGCATCGGCGAGGCTGTCATATGCTCAGATCCTTGCAAGAGGTCTGAAGGCGGCCCCTTCAGCTGTTGTCACACATACATATGGAGCACTAAAATCAGTCATGTCATATGTGAAGGGACCAACTCATCCTGAAAAAGTTACACATACTGAACACAAGGTCGAATATGGAGAAGCTCCTGGCAAGCAAACTATTGACTACCAAACTTCAGTCACACAGTCATATACATATGATAACGATAGATCACGAGGTAAGAAGAGGACCTATGAACCTAAGATTGAAGTCACTCCAGTCAAGATTACAGAAACAAAGGAAACTAAGAAAGAGGAGGTTCAGCGTCCTGAGAACTACATCCCTGGCCTACTTTTCAAGGAGGATGGAAGATCTCGTTCCAAGAGTGCCCGAAGAAGGAAGGCAGAAATGGTTTATGGGGTGGAAGAGGTCCCTGAAATAAAGAGGGAGAGGAGCACAGAGAAACACAGACGCTCCACTGAAAGAAAGGAAGTGAAAAGTAAGCGAGAAGTATTCTTTGAAGAAACACAGCCTGAAGAAACCCACATGGAAGTCACACTGCCTGTGGCACAAGATGTGTTGTCCACGACAACCTCACGATCTTCCAAGAGCAAAGATGAGTTTGTGGTTACAGAAATACATTATGAGACAACTCCTGAGACGCCGTTTGTGATTGATCACTGGGAAAACCAAGAAAAGAAGGAAGAAAAGACTGAAAAAATAAAGCAGAAGACTGTTATTACTGATGAAGAGGACATGAAACATGAAGAAAATGACACCAAGTCTCTCAGTAATGACACAAAAACTCATGACAGTGAAGAAAAGCGCAAGAAGAAGAAGAAACGTAACAGATCCAACCCAAAAGAAGAAGAGGAAGATGAATTAGAAAAGGCACTCAGAGAAATTGCAGAAATGGAAAGGAGTGGCAAGATCCAGCCTCCTCCTGCTCCAAAGGAAGTTGCTGTAGAAGATGACAAGCCTAAACGCAGAGGCTCAAGAAAGACAAGGAAGACTGAGCAGACCTCATCAGTAAAACAAGAACAAACTTCCAGCGACACATCAGTAAACGAACAGAAATCAGAAGTGACAGTTAAGCCTGAAAAAGCCAAGAGAGCCCATAAATCTAAGACTTCAGAGGATAAGAAATCAGCTCCAGAAACCAAGACTAGCGAGCCTGAGAAACGCAAATCCGCCTTTAAGAAGGCCAAGAGTGTGAGCTTTAACTCAGATGACAAAGAAAAAGAAACTTCCAAACTGTCGCAAGAGACAAAGCTGGCAAAATCAGAGCATGAGGAGACCGTAGTAGAATCTATGCAGACTCAGATTAGGGAGGAGCAAAAGTCACCTGTCTCTAAGAGATCTAAAGTTTCTTCTAAACATGCGAAGAGGCCTGTAGAAGTATCAGTACCTGTGCAAGTGGCAGTGTCCTCTAATGACCAACCTAATGATGTCCCTGTTGACCCTGTAGCTGATGCTCCTAACCTATCCCTTTTTGCCCCCATAACTCCTGTAGATACTTGTTGTGTATCTTCAGTAGAGACTCCCTTCTCCCCCTCTGAGGCCATTCAAGTTGAGACCAGTGTCGGGTATGATGAAAGCATTTCGTCAGAGATGGCTGTGAAAGAGCAGGAATGGGACCTCTCACGTGATGGTGCGGCTCTTGCCCCGTCGGAGAGGTCACTTGCACCAATTACATCTCCTGACAAAGTTAGCGCCTGTCTGGAACTCAAAGATGAGGGTGGACTTCCCCTCAGCACTGTGGACACTCATGATACTTGTGTGGAACTGAAAATAACAAGCGTTTCAACTTCCGAGGAAACAGCACCAGCAGAAGAAATAACTAGATCTCAGACTCAAGAGAAATCAACAGAGGAGAAACCTGCCTTTGCACTTCCCATCCCAGATCATGCAAATGACTGGATGGAAGTCATAGAGGATGGCGGTTTTACTCTTGATGATGAGGACGAGGAGATCGTTGAAGATAAACAAGAACCTGTCGCTGAGGTCCTTGCACCTTCACCTGGAGATACTAAACCTGATGTGGAGTCAAGTATTAAACCAGCATTTGGCCTTCCCATTCCCGAACATGCTGGAGATTGGATGGAAATAATTGAAGAGGGAGGTTTTACACTGGATGACGAAGAAGAAGAAAGTATAAAGGATGCAGTTGAAGAGTCCCACCAAGGCAAAGTAAAGATAGTCACAGATAAGACAATCAGAATCCCTGAAAAGGAAGAGAAGAAAACAACTGAGGAATCTGAGAAGGCCACTGTTGTGAGAACTATCAAACGAATCATCAAAAAGATTGTGATCATTGACGGCAAGCCTGTAGAGACTGAGGAAGTTGTGGAAGAACCTGGAAGTGCTAGTGAGGCAATGGATGAGGGAACAATAGGAGAATCAGTCATTACCGAGACCATAACTGAACCAAGGGAGATAACCACCACCCGCAAAATCACCAGGAGAAGAATAATTAAGAAAATAATTATGGTCAATGGTAAACCTGTTGAAACTGAGGAAGTTGTAGAAGATCCTGAGGAAGTGAGTGAAGAGACAGAAACATTGCCAGGTGATTCGAACATTACCGAAATAATGACAGACCCTGAAGTGACAACAAGAATTGTAAGAAGAATCATGAGAAAACGAATCATTAAGAAAACTGTCATAATCGATGGAAAACCTGTAGAAACTGAGGAAGTTATCGAAGAACCGGAAGATGTTTCAGAGGAGATCGTAGAGGGAACACAACCAACAGAGTCTGTGATTACTGAGACTACCACAGAACCTGAAGTGACAACGACTCACAGAATCATCAGGAGAAGAATCATCAAGAGGATTATCATGGTTGATGGTAAACCAGAGGAAGTTGAAGAAGTTGTGGAAGAACCAGAGGATGTCACTGATGAAACTACAGCAGAGAGACAACCTTACCAATCTGTCATCACAGAAACTATCTCAGAACCTGAGGTGACCACTACTAGAAAGATCATTAGGAAGCGAGTCATCAAGAAGACCATAATTGTCGATGGCAAACCTGTTGAGACTGAGGAAGTTGTGGAAGAACCTGAAGAGATCAGTGAAGAAGAGCTGCAAGCCTTACCCCAAGACTATGTTACCACCGAGACCATTACAGAACCTGAAGAGGTGATCACAACTCGCAAGATCATCAGGAGAAGAATCATCAAGAAGATCATTATAGTTGATGGTAAACCTGTTGAAACTGAGGAGGTTGTGGAAGAACCTGAAGAGATCAGTGAAGAGGAGCTGCAAGCCTTACCCAAAGATTATCTTACCACTAAGACCATCACCCAGCCTGAAGAGGTGATCACAACTCGCAAGATCACCAGGAGAAGAATTATCAAGAGGATTATTATAGTTGATGGTAAACCTGTTGAAACTGAAGAGGTTTTGGAAGAACCCGAGGAAGTGTCTGGGGAGTTGTTTGAGGGAAAATCAGGAGAATCTGTCATCACTGAGACCATCACTGAACCTGATGAAGTAACAACCACAACAGTGCGCAAAATAATAAGGAAGAAAATTATCAAAAAAGTTGTCATCGTTGATGGTAAGCCCGTTGAAACAGAAGAAGTTATTGAGGAGCCTGAAGAGGTTGGTGAAGTGACTGAAGAAAAACCAGGAGAATCAATCATCACTGAGACTATAACAGAACCTGAGGAAGTGACCACTACACAAAGAATTGTTCGAAAAAGAATAATCAAGAAAACAGTTATTGTTAATGGGAAACCTGTCGAGACTGAAGAGGTTGTAGAAGAGCCTGAAGAAGTTACCGAGGAAATGATACAACCTGCAGATACAGCTGGCATAGTCTTCACTGATACTAAGGAGGGAACTACCACCCAAAGAAGAAAAATCAAGAGAACTGTCATGGTTGACGGCAAACCTGTGGAAAGTGAAGAGGTCGTAGAGGGACCTGACGATGTAAATGTCACAGAAGAAATGCGTCCAGATTATTCTGTGAGCACTGAGACCATCACAGAACCTGGGGTAACGACTACACGTAGAGTCATCAGAAAACGAATTATCAAGAAAATTATTATGGTTGATGGAAAGCCTGTGGAAGAAATTATAGAAGAGCCCAGAAGAAATTGATGCGTCCAGATTATTCTGTGAGCACTGAGACCATCACAGAACCTGGGGTAACGACTACACGTAGAGTCATCAGAAAACGAATTATCAAGAAAATTATTATGGTTGATGGAAAGCCTGTGGAAGAAATTATAGAAGAGCCAGAAGAAATTGAAGGATCCCCTGAAACTTCTCATCCTGCAGGTACATATGTTTCAGAAACCACAGCAGAACCTGAAATAACAACAAAAATTATCAGGAGAATCATTAGGAGGAAAATCATCAAGAAAATTATCATAATTGATGGCAAACCAGTAGAAACTGAAGAAGTTGTTGAGGAACCTGAAGATATAGTAGAAGAATGCACAGGCACAGACGTTCAGCCAGAGTCGATGGTCATAGAAGAAATGACTGGCCCTGACACCACAACTTCAACTTCAAAGATTATTCGTAAGAGGATTATAAAGAGAATCATCATGGTGCATGGCAAACCTGTGGAAACAGAGGAAGTTGTTGAAGAGCCAGGGGAGGAGGAACTACTACCAGAAGAAACAGTCACCACCGAGACCATCACAGAACCTAATCAAATCACCACTACTACTAAAATCATTAAGAGAAGAATCATCAAGAAGATCGTCATGATTGATGGTAAACCTGTTGAAACTGAGGAAGTTGTAGAAGATCCAGTGGATGAGAGTGAAAAGATGGCCGAAGAAAAACTTCCAGGCGATTCTGTCATCACAGAAACCATTACAGAACCAGGCACAACAATTACACATAGAAAAATCAAAAGGATAATCAAGAAAATAATTATGGTAGATGGTAAACCAACTGAGACTGAAGAAGTTGTGGAAGAACCTGATGATGTGACAACAATAATTGGTCAAGAAGTTTCCCCTGAGCAAATGACCCAGTCAGAATCCCACATGACAGCCACAACTGTCAGGAGAGTCATTCGCAGAAGGATTATAAAGAAGATTGTCATCATCGACGGCAAACCTGTAGAGACAGAGGAGGTCATTGAAGAACCAGAGGATGTCACTGAGGAAATGATGCGCAGCCTCCCAGCTGACTCTCCCATTACCAAGACGATCACAGATCCGTCAGTATCGCCATCAACTGTGCGCAGGATTATTAAGAGGAAAGTTATCAAGAAGATAATCATAGTGGATGGTGAGCCTGTAGAAACTGAGGAAGTGGTAGAAGAGCCAGATGATGTGGTACTAGTGCATGAGGAAGTGGCAAAATGTGATGTGTTGGATGAACCTCAAGGCGAAATATCAGACATTTCAGTGAAGGAAAGTGTTAAACCAGTGTCAAAAAGGATTGTGATGGAAGAGGGCAAATCACTTGTGTCGGAGATGGAGGTGGATGAGCCAGTTATAGTGGTAGAGGGAACCCTTAGGGAAGATACACCAGGAGATTTGACAGTTGAGGTATCTGAGGAAAAGAAAATATTTGCTCTCCCTGTCCCCGATCATGCTAATGACTGGATGGAACTTATTGAGGGAGGAGGATTTTCTCTTGAGGATGAGGATGAGGAACCAGCAGTTGATCAAGCCTCTCTGGATGACAAGACTGTTGAAACTGTGATTGCGCAAGAGAAGAAGGAAATTGAGGAGAGAAAAGTTGAAATTAAGAGCAGTGGAAATGTGGAAACAGAAGTTGTCAACAGTGCCATGGAACAGCCAAAAGAAAAGGAGGTAGATGCTAAGCCTGCTTTTGGTCTTGTGTTGCCAGACCATGCTAATGACTGGTTAGAAATCCTTGAAGATGGAGGATTCACTCTTGAAGATGAGGATGAAGAAACACACAAGGAGTCCAAGGAAAAGGAGGTCCAGGATGCCACTCCTTCCATACCAGTCTCAACAACCACTGTTGTTCCCTCGACTGAAGACAAAACGGATAAGACTAAAGTGGAAGATGTCAAACCTTTTGCTCTGCCCATACCAGATCATGCTAATGATTGGATGGACATGATTGAAGGTGGAGGATTTACACTTGAGGATGAAGAGGAAGAGAAGAAACCAGAACAGGAGAGTGTTCCTCGTCAAATCCCTGATGAAAAGACCACAGAAAAGGAGAGTCTCCAGAAACCTGAGGTTAATAAACCATTTGGACTTCCAGTGCCAGACCATGCCAATGACTGGATGGAAATAATCCAGGAAGGTGGATTCAGCTTACAAGATGAGGACGAAGAACCACCAGCTTCAGAGGGCACTGAAGTAGCCACCAAATGTCAGCCAGAGATTCCCAAAGATCCAGTTGCGAGGGAAGAAGAGAGCAAACCCAAGTATGCACTCCCAATCCCTGATCATGCCAACGACTTCATGGAGATCATTGAAGGAGGAGGCTTCTCTCTCGATGACGAAGAAGAAACAGAAGACACTAAGGCACAGGAAAAGTTAAAGAGAGAAGAGGAGGTGGAGACAGAAGCCACGACAACTTACACAACTCTCATTAAATCAAAACACCTTGTCCATGCAACATATGTCATGCAAGAAAACACAGATAGCCAGGAGGTTCACAGTGACAACCCAGGACATGAAAAGGAAGGAAATCCTGGTCATGGAAAGAAAGGACAAAAATCTTCGAAGAAATCACAGGAAACATCTTCATATGCCCTTGCTCTTGCTACTGGAAAGCCTATCCCTAAAGAAGAACTTAAGGAGGAACCCAAGAAACCATACCGCTACCGCAACCCATCTACAAGCGAAGAGCATCCTCCTGAAGATAACCCTCATCCAGCAGCAAAGAAAGACCCTGAAGGATTCGAAGAATTTGTGTCCAAGAAGGAAAAACGTCGAAGGAAGATGCATAGTGACACAGAAAAGCAAGTGTCAGAAGAACAAACACAAGGCCAGTCAACTGAAGTCAAGGGTAATCCTGGTAATCCAGGTGAAGAAACTGAAAAAGAAAAAGCTGAGGCTCATCCCTCAACATCTCAGCCAGAGAAAGAGGTGGGGTCAAGAAAGACTAAGGAAAAATCTCCCAAAGAAGGCAAGAATCCTAAAGATTCTAACCCAGGTGACAAGAAAAAGAAAAGAAAGAAGGGCAAGGCTAAAGAGGAGGATGGAGATGACAGTTCGAAGACAGAAAAGGAGAAACAGTCCAGGCGAAAAGATAAGAAAGAAAAAGTTGAAGTGACAAGTGTACAGACTGATCTTGCTAATGTTGTCATGGAAACTTCTGTTTCTGAAGACCCTACCTCGCCACTAAAGGAGGAGGGTGATTTGGTAATCCCTGAACTCAAGACTGAAACCGTAGCTGAATCAGATGTGGCTGTTGTCAAACTAAACGTTCAGGCAGACATTAAACCAGATACAAAGTCAACAGTTCCGGTGGTGTCAGACTCAGAGGGTTCTATGGCATCATCTATGCTCTCGGTTGCATCTGTGAGCCCTCGACCCACCAGTCCACACCTTATCATTGACGACCTTAGTGACATTGTTTTGACTCCTCAATGGATGCGTCAGAGGCCGATTGTTCGTACCTCCAGCACTGAAGAAAAGATCAAAATTCCGCTGGAGGAACGTAAAAAACTCTTCAAAACAAGAAGTGCTCCACTAGAAAGTACTTCTCTTTCCTTCGAAACAATCGAAGCTCGGGGTATAGATATATCGATGTCCGCTTTCAGCTAACATAGAAAGCACAGGTACCTCTGACAGTGACATCTCGGCCTTGGTTCCTGGAGATGAATACTATAAGAATAAAAAGAAAAGAAAAGAAAGAAGGGCAAGGCTAAAGAGGAGGATGGAGATGACAGTTCGAAGACAGAACAGGAGAAACAGTCCAGGCGAAAAGATAAGAAAGAAAAAGTTGAAGTGACAAGTGTACAGACTGATCTTGCTAATGTTGTCATGGAAACTTCTGTTTCTGAAGACCCTACCTCGCCACTAAAGGAGGAGGGTGATTTGGTAATCCCTGAACTCAAGACTGAAACCGTAGCTGAATCAGATGTGGCTGTTGTCAAACTAAACGTTCAGGCAGACATTAAACCAGATACAAAGTCAACAGTTCCGGTGGTGTCAGACTCAGAGGGTTCTATGGCATCATCTATGCTCTCGGTTGCATCTGTGAGCCCTCGACCCACCAGTCCACACCTTATCATTGACGACCTTAGTGACATTGTTAGGAACGTTAAAAAACTCTTCAAAACAAGAAGTGCTCCACTAGAAAGTACTTCTCTTTCCTTCGAAACAATCGAAGCTCGGGGTATAGATATATCCGATGCCGCTTTTGGTTCAGTGCAGGAAAGAAAGACACTTTCAGCTAACATAGAAAGCACAGGTACCTCTGACAGTGACATCTCGGCCTTGGTTCCTGGAGATGAATACTATAAGAATAAAAAGAAAAGGCCCAAGAAGTCAAGGAGTAAGAGAGGTGAACATGATAATGGCCATGATGATGATCTTGATCAACAAGATAAACCATCAGAAGGTTTACAACTGCAAACAGATATGGACACTGTGGAAGCTCTTAAGGAAGCAACTGCTCCAAGTAAGCCTATAGACCGAGATGAGGATGAGATGAAGAAAGATGAAGACAAACTCCCATCTCAAGAAAAGTATAAACCTAAGCCTCAGAGGGAAGTCAAAGCTTCTGTGGCAGAGAAAGAAGAGTCTGTGGTAGAAAAAGAAGTGTCTGTGGCAGAAAGTGTTACTGAACAAACATCTCACGAAAAAATTGAACTTGAGCCACAAGTCAAGGATGAGGAACTTGTGAAGTTGGAAAATGTTAAACAAATGCCAACTCAGGAAAAGCTTGAGATCTGGGAAGAAGCAGGTATTGAAGTTATTACTGCAGGTGATTTGGTAATGCACCACGAGCAACTTGTTTTGCCAGGTATGATTCCTCTATCACAGCAACAGGAAAGGCAAGAGCCAGTTGTTGAATCTACACACCCATGGACATTTTCTAAGAAAGATGAAAGCGTAGGACTTCAAAAGGTTGTACCTAATATCGAGGAGGCTCTCCAGGAGGCAATGACATCAGAACTCGATGTTCTGGATGATCGTGTGCAGGAAAAGCCAAAGGAGGAGCCGAAGCCAGAGCCAGAACAGCCACTAGCCAAACCTGTGGATGACTGGATGCATGTGACCGATGTTGACAAGTTCACCAAGGAAGTCGAAAGTGAAGAAAAGGCTCGGGAACAAGCTGTAATGAAGGAGGAAATCGGTTCCCATGAAACTATCATGACTGAAGAGGGTGACAGTGTTTTAATAACAACATCTGAAGGGAAGTCTTTGACTTCTCTCGAAACAATGACCGAGGAAAGTCAATTCAGCAGCCTACCAGCTGATACAGAGATGGCAGAGGAAAGCTGGAGTGAACATAAATCAATAGATTCTGGAGTGAGTGTTGCCACTGCATCAGTTGAACAAGAGTCTAGCCAGCATCCACAGTCATATGCCAACATCCTCATTACAGCTCCAGCTGTGATTGTCGAGGAACCACCTGAAGAACCCAAGAAGCAATATGTTTATCGAACCCCAACTGTGGTTGAAAAGATTAGTGTTGAAACTGAAGCTCCTGCTATGCCTGTAGCTGATGAGGAAGGCTTCGTAGAATTTGTTTCTAAACGAGAGAGACATCGTAGAAAGACACAGAGCACCTCTGGCATCACTGATGACATCAAGGAGGAAGTGAACTCTGCTATGGCTAAGGAACCCAAAAAGGAAGAAAGCATAGAGAAAAGCAAGGATGAACGCTCAGAAGCTGAGCAGGATGACGAAATTAGTTTAACAGAAAGTGATGATGATAATAGTTTGTTTAAAGCTCTAAAACCGAGGAAACCCAAGAAGTCAAAAGACAAAAAGGACAAAAAGAGAGTATCGAAAATGTCAGAGTCTGAAATAGAAATATGTAACATTGCGGCTGCAATTGAAAGAGGAGAAACACCTCCTAAACCAAAAGATGTGGTTGAATACGAGCACAGACTCTTTGCGGCCTTTTACTTGGGTTCAGAGCTGTGGTATGACGTTTTTGGCATCCGTGATGCTGAGAGCAATTATCACATGTACTTGGCAACTACCTCACAAGAGGCAGTCCCTCAAGATGAACCAGTCCAACCTGACCTAATTTCCGAGGTTGACGATCAAGCAGGACTTCAACCTGATGATCAAGTTTCACCAGAGACTGAGCCTGTTCAGTATTTAATGGTATTTGAACAAGAGTCTCCCAAGTATGATATGAGTGCCATCTTGGAGTGTGAGACAAGATACTATGAGTATCTTACAAATGAGCAGCAGCAGCAGCAACAGCTTTTGGATGAAGAAACAGAAGAGGAAGAGAGAATGACTCCTGTACAGGACACACCTGAAGAGAAGGTATTGGTAGTCCAGGAGGAAAATACTAAGACAGAAACTGAGACAGAGCCAAACCAAAAAGATGATACATCAGAAATCAGTCAGCCTGACATTAAGAAGCATGATTATGTAACAGATCCAGAAAAGATGATAGTAGATGCTGATATGCAATTCGAAGATCAGGTGCCAGAAACAGCTAAAAATATTGTAAGTGAAAAGAAGGACCTCGAAATGCCGATTAGTGATGTTGAAGTGAAAACAGATATTGACATTACTCATATGACATCTGAAGTGACTTCTACAACAGTTAAGACACAGGTTACCACAGATCTCGCGATAAGTAAAGATGTGGAAGATATACCAGCATTGACAGAAGAGGTTATACCAACCGAATTTGAACCAAAAACAGAAGCTGAAAATATTACAGGTGACCAGGCAGTTAGGTATGATACTACCTCTATCCAAGATACCGAAAAAGATTATCAGGCATACTTAGTTGACTCAGGTGAACTTGAACCTCAACATGAAGTTGAAGAAAAACAAGAATTGGATTCTGTTCCTGGTATTCCTACAGTGTCCACTCTGAATTACGACATGTCAGCCATCCACCAAGCTGAAACCAAGTACCATGAATACCTTGCCCAGACAGATGAAGCAAGTACCTCATGGGCTCGCGTTGTGGCTCAGGGAAAACCCGTAGATGTAGAGGATGTGGAGGAGGAGCCAAAGGATGATAAATCCTTTATCATGTACCAGACCAAGACAGTGAAGGTTGTGGTGACTGATGAAGAGCCTCCTAAACCACAGGTGCCTGTATCAGTTGATGAAGAAGGATTCAAGGAGTTCGTTTCCAAGCAAGAGCGCCGTCGCAGACTGAGGTCATCATGCTCAGAGGAACCAGAGGATGTGAAAGACATTGTGCCTTATGTACCACGAATAGAGTTACCAGAAGTAGGAGTTGTGGAAGAGAAGGAAGAGGTTGAAACCAAAGAACCTGAACCTGTGAAAGTCAAGCCTGAAGTACAAATCGCGGATGAAAGTGTAATTGAAACATTCGAAGCCGCACTTCAGCGTGTCAGGAAACACAAAGAAAGTCACAGAAGAAGCCGCACATACACTGCTGAAGCTGAGAAGGAAGTTGATGACATTATCCGTTTCATGAACCGTGATGAAGTCTTGCAGCAGTATCTTGCCCTTGACTCCTTCGTGATGGACATGTGGCAGGCTTGTGACTGTGAAAGAAAATACCAGGAAATGGTAGCTTGGTCAGCTGAGGGTGATCTTGAAGCTGAGACTTTAGGCCTAATGGAGGAATCTAGTCAGACACAAGAAGAGTGCATTGCCCCCAGCCCTTCACCAGTAATTTCCCTAGGTGCCTTGTCTGAACCCCCTCTTGATTATCCTGTTCACACCACTTATTTTGTCACTCCTGAGCTAACTTCATCTTTTTCATATGACATAACCGCAATCAATGAGGCTGAGTGTAGGTATTACGAATACTTAGCGCAGCGTGAGCTGGATGTGAAGAGTGAGGAGCTTATTGATGTGACTGAGGAACCTTTACTGCCAACTGAAGGTAAGGTCCAGTTGCCAGAATTGGTTAATGAAACAGAGGTTGTCCAGATTCCTGTAGTTGCTGTCAGAACAGATGGGGTTGTACAGACGCCAACAGTAACTGAGAAGAAGGAAGAATTTATTCAGGAAGCTATCATCAGTGACAGAAAAGAGGAACCTATGATGGTTGACAGGAAGGAAAGGGTGATCGAAGAACCTGCTGCTGTAGACATAAAGGTAAATGTTCATGAACCTGTGGTGGTCGAGATTAAGCAAGAAATAACCCAAGAATCTACACAGGTTGATAGAATCGAAGAGGTTGTCCAAACCCCGGTAATTGTTGATAAACAGGAGGAGACAGTCCTGAAGACTGTTGTACTCGAGAACAAAGAAGTGAATGTTCAAAAACTAATGGTTGTTGATGAAAACAAAGAGGTTGTAGATAAGCCCTTAGTATTAGAAAGAAAGGAAGAGGTTGTCCAAACACCTATAGTGATGGAAGACTTAAGAACTGATACAGAGCAAGTACAAATCCCACAGGTGTCATCGGACATGGTGGTTGGTGAAATACTCGAATATAACATGACAGCTATTCAAGAAGCTGAAAGGGATTACCAGTTATACCTGACTGATGCACATGAAGTTCAGCCACAAGAAGAAGCTGTTGATGAACAAGAGGAGGATGACTCCTTGTCTAGTGCAGCTGTTGACTCAATGTCCACTCTGAATTATGACATGTCAGCCATCCACCAAGCTGAAACCAAGTACCATGAATACCTTGCCCAGACAGATGAAGCAAGCACCTCATGGGCTCGCGTTGTGGCTCAGGGAAAACCCGTAGATGTAGAGGATGTGGAGGAGGAGCCAAAGGATGATAAATCCTTTATCATGTACCAGACCAAGACAGTGAAGGTTGTGGTGACTGATGAAGAGCCTCCTAAACCACAGGTGCCTGTATCAGTTGATGAAGAAGGATTCAAGGAGTTCGTTTCCAAGCAAGAGCGCCGTCGCAGACTGAGGTCATCATGCTCAGAGGAACCAGAGGATGTGAAAGACATTGTGCCTTATGTACCACGAATAGAGTTACCAGAAGTAGAAGTTGTGGAAGAGAAGGAAGAGGTTGAAACCAAAGAACCTGAACCTGTGAAAATCAAACCTGAAGTACAAATCGCGGATGACAGTGTCATTGAAGCATTCGAAATAGCACTTCAGCGTGTCAGGAAACACAAAGAAAGTCACAGAAGAAGCCGCACATACACTGCTGAAGCTGAGAAGGAAGTTGATGACATTATCCGTTTCATGAACCGTGATGAAGTCTTGCAGCAGTATCTTGCCCTTGACTCCTTCGTGATGGACATGTGGCAGGCTTGTGACTGTGAAAGAAAATACCAGGAAATGGTAGCTTGGTCAGCTGAGGGTGATCTTGAAGCTGAGACTTTAGGCCTAATGGAGGAATCTAGTCAGACACAAGAAGAGTGCATTGCCCCCAGCCCTTCACCAGTAATTTCCCTAGGTGCCTTGTCTGAACCCCCTCTTGATTATCCTGTTCACACCACTTATTTTGTCACTCCTGAGCTAACTTCATCTTTTTCATATGACATAACCGCAATCAATGAGGCTGAGTGTAGGTATTACGAATACTTAGCGCAGCGTGAGCTGGATGTGAAGAGTGAGGAGCTTATTGATGTGACTGAGGAACCTTTACTGCCAACTGAAGGTAAGGTCCAGTTGCCAGAATTGGTTAATGAAACAGAGGTTGTCCAGATTCCTGTAGTTGCTGTCAGAACAGATGGGGTTGTACAGACGCCAACAGTAACTGAGAAGAAGGAAGAATTTATTCAGGAAGCTATCATCAGTGACAGAAAAGAGGAACCTATGATGGTTGACAGGAAGGAAAGGGTGATCGAAGAACCTGCTGCTGTAGACATAAAGGTAAATGTTCATGAACCTGTGGTGGTCGAGATTAAGCAAGAAATAACCCAAGAATCTACACAGGTTGATAGAATCGAAGAGGTTGTCCAAACACCTATAGTGATGGAAGACTTAAGAACTGATACAGAGCAAGTACAAATCCCACAGGTGTCATCGGACATGGTGGTTGGTGAAATACTCGAATATAACATGACAGCTATTCAAGAAGCTGAAAGGGATTACCAGTTATACCTGACTGATGCACATGAAGTTCAGCCACAAGAAGAAGCTGTTGATGAACAAGAGGAGGATGACTCCTTGTCTAGTGCAGCTGTTGACTCAATGTCCACTCTGAATTATGACATGTCAGCCATCCACCAAGCTGAAACCAAGTACCATGAATACCTTGCCCAGACAGATGAAGCAAGCACCTCATGGGCTCGCGTTGTGGCTCAGGGAAAACCCGTAGATGTAGAGGATGTGGAGGAGGAGCCAAAGGATGATAAATCCTTTATCATGTACCAGACCAAGACAGTGAAGGTTGTGGTGACTGATGAAGAGCCTCCTAAACCACAGGTGCCTGTATCAGTTGATGAAGAAGGATTCAAGGAGTTCGTTTCCAAGCAAGAGCGCCGTCGCAGACTGAGGTCATCATGCTCAGAGGAACCAGAGGATGTGAAAGACATTGTGCCTTATGTACCACGAATAGATTTTACCAGAAGTAGAAGTTGGGAAGAGAAGGAGAGAGAGAGAGAGATGAGAGAGAGAGAGAGAGAGATGAGAGAGAGAGAGAGCGAGAGAGAGAGAGAGATAGAGAGAGAGAGAGACAGAGAGAGAGAGAGATGAGAGAGAGAGAGAGCGAGAGAGAGAGAGAGACAGAGAGAGAGAGAGATATATATATATATATATGCATATGTATATATGCATATGTATATATGCATATGTATATGTATTCACACACATATATATACACTTTGTTATATATATATATACATATACATACATATACATATACATACATATACATATACATATAC